ACCCCTGCATGGAGCCCCGGGAGTCCTGGGCGGCCTTGGCGGTGAGTGAGCGGGTTCTGGGCCTGCCCGTTGCCAAGGAGACGCGGTGGCCTCCGGTGCTTCGCTTCGTCTCCTCTTGGCTTCGGATGCTGTCTGCAGGCGCTGGGTGTGTGCACGGTCCTTTGCGAATCATTTCTCGCCCTAAAAGTCACTTCTCAACGTGTGCTCCCGGTAGCCTCATGTGTAAGGGGTCCCCAAAACTAGGGACCTCCTTGGAGTTATCTAGTGCCTGCTGTGAGTTCTGCTTGGAACCTGGGCTAGTGTGAGGAGAGCTGCGGGCCTGCTGGGAGGGTTTAGCTCCCTGTCGGCTGCAAGGCTCAATGCATTTGCGTTAGGTCCTGGCTTTGCTTAATTTCTTTAGTGGAGTTAAGTTTAAGGCTATGTTTGACTCCTGGTGAAGGTTTTTCAGCTGTTCTGTATCTAATAATGCTGCTGTGCAGAAAGGTGGGGGTGAAGGTGTGTTCAGCTCTTTTGCTGTCTAGAAATCATTACTATTTTCTGCAGGTGGTATAAGCCTGCAGGTATTGTCGCTCTCTGGCAGGGCTCTATTAGCTGCTTCATGAATTTAAATGACGTTTAAGATACAGAACTTTGAAAATGAAAGAAGCAATTAGTAACTTTTGACTCACATTTTAACAGATGGCTGGATTAAATCTGAATAAATCTGATCAATGTTATTTTGAGCAGACAAGGATTTTGATGGAAAAAAGCAAAGAAAAATCAATGCATGCAAAATAGGCAACTAGATTAAAAGAGTAATTAACTTATTGATTAAAACTTTAGTATTAGATAGTGAACACCTCTGTGAATCCTCTGTTGGCCATTTAAAAACCTCAATCAAACACACATGTGATTTGTTTTCAGGCAGAGTTAAAAATGTGCACAGCTGTTTCTTGTGTTCTGCTCTATACGAGGTAGACTTCAAACTCTGTTTTCTGTTCTGAATTACAATCATCAATCATAATAGATTAATGGTAACTGTTCATGCTTTTTTTTTTTCTTTTGAAATGAGTTTTTATATTTCTTTCTGTCTCCTCCTTCTGTTTTTGACAAGTAGTTATTTCTATATCTATGTCCTGGGGAAAATAAAGTCAACTAGAACCACAAACAATGGAGAAGAATTGCTTCAGCTGAAACTATTATTTTTAGGGGTTGGTTTTAAGAGTTGCTTTGGGTGAAAACTTTCCCCTTTTCCTTACAACTTTTGAAAACATCTTTCTTTAATATGATTTTTTTATTCCTTATAGACTTTTGTCAGCTAAAGAAAAGCAGTTTTACTTCAGGCTTTATTCAACAAATGAAATGAGGGGGTGATCATTTAAATGAAGAAGTTTGCTAGAGAAAATACAAATGTGCTTTCTAGAGGTGCTTAGGGAGGAAGCAGAATTGCTTCTGTATTTCCCTGATCTTATCACACAACTTCATAGAGGTGTTGGTCATTCTGTGCTGTGCCATCTTGATAGGTGGTATTTACTGTCTTGCTTTTGTGTAGGGGTTAGATGTTGCACTGCTTTGCTTGTACTATTTGAAACACTGAAGTTGTTTTGAAAATACCTTAAAAATGGGTTTTAAAGTTATAATACCTATTACTTTCTCTCTTGTTGAAGCTTCCTTGTTATAGCTATAGAAGCTATTGAGATCTGTGTAAGACTGGCAGTTTATAAGTTGACCTCAGAAGGCACCTAGTCAGTAGTGCTTTGCTTTAGGCTTGCCTCAGTTATCACATAAGCTTCACCCCTATGAATATTAATGCACTTTATTCCATGGTTTTGTCTTGAAGGCTGGTGGAGTTGCTGGTGTCTGTGTTGACTTGATCCTTTTTCCTCTGGATACTGTAAAAACAAGACTGCAGAGTCCTCAAGGATTTAGGAAGGCTGGTGGTTTTCGTGGCATTTATGCTGGTGTTCCTTCTACTGCTATAGGATCCTTTCCAAATGGTAAATTTTCTCTGGATTTTACTTTGTCATCTTTAAGTGGGAACTGTTATAGTTCAGGACATTCGTGCCCATTGCTTCCCCTCCTGCAGGTGACCTTGGATTCTATAAGTCCATGTCCACCTGTGAAGAGCAGTTTCTAGAATTGCAGTGTGTTGAACAAACTCTTTGAGCAAGCCTGGAATGAAGGCTGCTCCATGTTTACTCTGAAAAGCAACCCTTACTCCTTGGAAGCATTCCTTACTGTCCTTACTTACAGCAGTACCCTAAAGCATTTCCAGGTGCCAAAGAGGGCTTGAGTCTTGCTTACCCTGGACACTTTTGTCATGAACCCCTCATTCACAGCATCGGAAATGAATCAAAATTCCAAGTGCTTGAGCACTGGAGGTCTTTGAGCTCACTGCCCTGGGGATGCTGTGCCTGTCTTTGTCTCCCTGGAAACAACTACAGCACTTAAAATGATAAGACATCAGGAAAACTTCTGAAACTGAAGCATTTAAAAAAGTAAATGCTTGTAGTCCCTGCAGAGAATAAAGGTATCTAAAAATCCTAATGCCTTTGTCCATTTTGTGTTTGTAGGGAGGGATAAAAAGCCAATAAGCTATGCTGTCAGTAGTAAATGTTAGGAGAACTTTGCTGACACATCCACTGATACCTTTAGATGTTTGATGTCCTTCATAAGGTGATACAAAAAAATGCAGTTCTTTATCTTGTCTGCTCTGTTATCTCCTCCTGAGGTGATAGGCATCTTTTGATTAGCAGAAGGCAATTCACACAGCCCTTCTTCACAATTAAAATCTGTTCCCCCCCCAAGACATGTCAGTTTTCTCAGGATTTACATCTTCAAAATCTGAACTGTGGTTTTATCTTTCCAACGTATGACTGAGAACTTATCTTTTGGAGAAGTAACCCTTAAGGTGCAAATGCCTTTGTAGTTGACTGTTGCAGTGAATAAACACAGCTGGTATTGCTATGCTCAGTTTACTTTTGTATGTTTCTTGTTCGCTGGACAGGACTTTTACAAGTCCTTTAGAAGCTTGGAAGAATGTTTTTTATGGAGCTAGAGTGCCAAATATTAAACTGACAATAGCTGGGAAGAAGTTATTAATAACTGCTGCTGAAACAGTTTTACCCATTGCAGGATAGAGACTTGTGTCAGGTACCTTGATGATTTTTGGGTTGGCTTTTTTTTCCCCCCTTTTCAATTAACTGATTTAT